TAAGACATCATAGGAGAATCAGTTTGGTTAGGAAGGCAATGGCAATAAGGGAGCAACTTTTTCAAAAAAACCTCAGACTCCTTGAGAGCTGGTGCAGACTTTCTTTCTCTGTTTTCCTTTCTACATATTCTGTCCTTTCGCCCCAACAATAAGCATGAAGCCCATCATTTCTCAGGTACCCCAGGGAAGCAGAATTTGCCACAGGCTCTGAGTGAGGCAGGTTTGGAGAGATCTGCAGGGTCGTGGGCTGGCTCTGTTCTGTAGGCAATGATGGCCCACACCATGCCTAGCATGTAGTGAACACTTAAATGTTTGTTGACTTGACTTGCTGACATTTTCAAGTGACCAGGTGGGACCTGGGCTATGGGTCAATAGGAAAAATGCTCGGAATCATAGAGCTAGAAGGGAATTAGAAACCATCTTGTCCAATCCCTTCACTTTATACGGTGAGGAAGCTGAGGCCTGGAGACATGAGGTGACTTGCCCAAGTTCATACAGCTAGTTAAGGCACAGCTACCATAAGATTCCAACCTGGAAAGACTTGCATGGACTGGTGCAAAGTGAAATATACTGTGTACACAGTAACATCAATATTGTAAGATGATCAGTTATGAATGACTTCGCTATTGTCAGCAATACAAAAATCCAAGACAACTCTGAAGGACTTTTGATGAAAACTGCTATCCATCCCCAGAGATAGAACTGATAGTATCTGAATACAGATTGAAGCATTTTTTTAAACTTTATTTTTCTAGAGTTTTTTTGTCTACATTTTCTTTCACAATATGATTATTATGGATGTTTTGCATGACTACACATGTATAACCTATATCGAATTGCTTGCCTTCTCAATTTAAATAACATGAATAATCACCATATTATTTCTACTGTCATAGGAGCATAGATTCAGAAATGGAAGAGACCTTTGGACCTCATCTGGTCCAACCCCATTGTTTTATGTTTGAGACATTAGGAAATTATCCCTCATAGTTGGGGAGGGAGGAAGGGAGAGAATTTGGAACTCAAGATTTTAAAAACAAATGTTAAAAATTGGTTTTACATGTAACTGGGGGAAAATAAAATACTAAATAAAAGCTAAAAAAAATAGAAAAATTAAAAAATTATAATCTGCAAAATTATAGAGTTGAGCCAACTTAGTAGGTACAGTAAATAGAGAGCTGGACCTGGAGTCAGGAAGACTTGAGTTCAAATCCAGATTCAGACACTTGCTAGCTGTGTGACCCTGAGCAGGTCACTTAACTTTTATTTGCCTCAACCATAAAATAGGAATAATAATAGTATCTACCTCCCAGAGTTGTGAGGAACAAATAAAATAACATTTTAAAGCAATTTAGCAGAGTGTCTGGTACATAGTAGGTACAATATCAATGCTTATTCTCTTCCTGTAAGACCAGCTCCAACATGCTAAGATTTGCTGGTTCTGTGAATGAGGTTTGGAAGGCCACAGCCTGAGCCTAGGATTAAATGAGATTGTTACATAGACAGAAGCATGCACACACACAAACACATCCCAAGCATGCACACAGATGGTACTCATGATCTGAATTGACACCTGGGTTTTAGAATTTCCTGAATTTTACAGATAGAAGTGACCTGGGCAAACAAGATATGACTAGATTCAGATCAACCAAGACTGACAGAGGATAGGAAGAAGTTGTATTAGCAGCACCAGAAGTAAAAGCAGGAACAGAAATAACCATGAACTTACTCTTGAGTTGACAGAGAAGCCACAGGACCCACAATCTGCGATGGGCCATTTGGCACTAACTTTTTGACAAGTAGTCAAGGTGGAGGGTCTTGGGCTGCCTTCATGAAGTAGGGCCAGCATGCATAGTTTGAATCTTCACACTGAGAAAGGAGGAAATGTTTACCACTTTAACTTCCGCACCTCCCCGCTCTGGTTTCTTCACAGAGGAGTACACAGAACAGGACAGGAGGGAGGCATAGATAAACAGCAGTTAGTATGAAAGACCTGGATGGCTTGGTTGACTGAAAACTTGATTATGTCACCAGTAATAAGGCATCTAAAATAAGCCAAGGTGTTCTTGGGCTGTCCTGAGAAGCATGATGTTTAGAAATGGGAAGGTGATGAACCCATGGCGCTCTGTCTCTATCAGACCACCTTTGGAGTGTTGTGTTCATTTCTGGGTGCCACATTTTAGGAAGACCACTGATGAGCTTAAGAGCATCCAGGGGAAGGCAACTTGAATGGTGAAAAGCCTCCAGTTTATGCTAAATGAGGATGAGTTGGAGGAACTGGGAATGTTTAACCTTGAAAAGAGAAGTCTTTTGGGAATCATGCTAGCAACCTACAAGTTTGCTAGGACTTCCTCATGGACGATAGATTAGTCTTTTTCTTTTTTTTTCAGCCAAATACAAGGTTGATTAAAGATCTGCCGGGCCAGACTTAAGGAATCTGAGCACCTGTGAGCTATTGACTAGATTGTAAAAATCTGAGCAGTGGCTAGATTTTAAGAATCAGAGCCTAGATTAGTCTTTTTTCTCTGTGGTCCCAAAAGGCAAATCTAGGATCAATGGGAAGAAGTTGCAGAGGGACAGATTTGGGATTGATGTAAGCAGAAACTTCCTAATAATTAGCACCAGGGTTGTGCTGGAGCAAGCTTGTACTGGCTCTCAAGAGCCATTATAAATAAAGGCTTGATTTATTGCTTGTCTAGGGAAGGGAAGGGAATAAGCATTTATGTAGTGTAGACAATTTACACACATGATATAATTTGATTCTACTAAAAGCTTTGGGAAGGTAGGTGCTATGATTATCTCTACTATATAGTTGAGGAAACTAAGGCAAATAGAGGTTAAATGACTTGCCCACAGTCACACAACTAGCAAGTGTCTGAGGCTACATTTGAATTCAGATCTTCTTGACTCTAGGCCCAGAGCTCTATCCATTGTGCCATCTAGCTGCCTTCTCCTTATTATGACTAGTCTTCATAAAGTGCTAGAGAACATGCTGGTGATGCAAATTAAACTGAAAAATTTGTTCTGCCTAATAAACTGGTTGTTACATATGTATCAGCACAACCCTGATTAGAGCTATCAAATAGTGCTATATGTTTTCTCAGGAGGAAATCAATTCTCTTCCATGGGAAGGTCTTCAATCAGAGGCTGAATGATCATTTATTGGGTTTATTGTAGAAGAGATATTTTTTCAGATAAAGACTGGACTATATGGCTTCTGTGGTCCCTTCCAACTCCAATAGTGACAGGGATGTACTTAACATATGTGCAAAGCATAGTGTGAAGTGCTGTATGTAGGATATAAGGGAAATGTCCCCTGCTCTGAAGTGACTTGTGATTGTATTAATCCATCTGCATAGGACTTTAGATCCAGGAAGAAAGTGGGGAAAAGAGAGTCTCCTTGCAGCTTGGGAGTTTCAGTAAATTATAGGGAAGGGAGGGGCACTGTCAGATAACACTTAAGACTAGCTAAGATTCTACCCCTCATTCTCTGGTCTTTCTCTACCATTCCCCCATGAACCTCCCTCCCTCATTTTTCAACTTTTTAAAGTTCCATTGGAATGTAAGGTCCTTGAGGGGAGGAATTATCTTTTTCCAGTTGTGTTTGTATTCCCAGCATTAGGAAAGAGCCTGGCATATAGTTAGTGCTTAATAAATGCTTGTTGATTTGCCTTGACTTGTAGATGCTTTTGTACCGGCTGGAAAAAGCTTCCCCCTGAGTTCTGTCTTAAAGAAGTATTTTGAAGATATTACTCCAAACTCAGAGCCTGCAGTAACTTGAAAATCTCTCTCATTTCAATCCATAGAGTCATAGGCTTTATAGCTGAGAGGGATCACAGACTTAAGGTATAAGTCACCTAATCCACTTCCCTCCATTTTATAGGTAAGAGATGTTAAGTAACTTTCCCAAAGTGGCACAGGTAGCAAGTGTCAGCCACTTCCTTTATTTTATAGGTGAGGAAACTGTGTCCTGGAGAGGGAAAGTGACTTGCCTAATGTCTCTAGCAAGCAACAGCAGCAATTGAGAATAGGTCCCAGGTGTCCTGCCTACTCATCTGCTTAGGAATAGCACTGTTTCTGCATCCCAGCAGGGTCCAATATACAGAGGTTATAGCCAATTATAGAATTAGGTTAGGATCATGAGACATGAAAGGAATTACATTGACCACAACTAGGCATGTGACTCACTCTCTCCACCTTAGACACAGAAGGCACTTCTCATCTTCCTTGTATGTTTTCCTGGACATAAGCACTATGATCTCACACAAGGGGAAGGGAAGAGGGAGGAAATCAGTATTTGTTAAGCACCTGCTGAATATCAGACTAAGCATTTTCACAAATATCTTATTTTAAATGAGAGATAGCTAGGACTGGAGTGGATAGAGACCTGGGCTTGGAGTTAAGAAGACCTGAATTCAAATTCAGTTTCAGACACTTACTGTCTGTAACCCAGGGCAAATCATTTAACCTCTGTTTGCCTCAATTTCCTCAACTGTAAAATAGGAATCATAATAGTAACTGTCTTCCAGGGTTGTTATGAGGATCAAATGAGATGAAAGGGTTGATCCCTAAGAAGATAAACTCTTCCTCCTCAAACCTGGCCAAGGTACGCTGAGCTTTTGAAATATAGGTTTTATTCATCTAAAAAAAATTTTGCACAATGTTTGTTCAATCAAGGCCCCACAGAGGACAAAGTAAAACTTGGTCTATTCCCTTGTAAGGGAAGAGTAGCAGGTGTAGATTATTTTGTGATGGGGTCCTTTCAAATCTGATTTCCATGATAAATGGTCCCTAGCCAACAGTCTAGGTCTCCATTTCCATTTCCATCTTTCCAGGCCTCACTTACTTAACATGGACCACTACCCAGTGCCCAGGCCCCACATTCTTCTTTCTCACTTCCTCTTCACCTTAATTTTTTAAAGTAATTACTACCCCACCCCCAAATCTGGAGGTAAAAAGAGGAAGTCTGTCTATATGGGTAATAGGCACACACACACACATAAAGCCAGAAAGTAGTTCATTCAGTCCCTGCTGTTGGTTAAAATGATCCATCCCAGACTGTGGACCCTCTTCCTTCTCAGTCTCCTCCTGGGTGAGTACACACTGTTACATTATGACCTGATACTTCACAAGCTTCACTTTCCAGTTTCTCCCTTTCCTCTTTCACTACCCCAATCTATCTTGGTAGATTTTGAACTGGCCACTTTCCAAATCAGAGTCACTGTTACCTATAAAATTGAGGAATGTTGAGGGCTAGGTGGTCATTTCCATAGTGGACACTAGAGTGGTTTCTGGGTATGTATGTGCTCAAGCAGGGTGTGCGCATGTAGAAACAGTATGATGTTGTAGAGTGGACAAGGGTGCTGGACTTGAGTCAGGGAGAGCTGGGCTCAAATCCTAGCTCAGACTCTAGCTAAATGATTAAGGGCAAGTCACAACTACATTTTCCTCATCCATAAGATGGGGATACCTCATATGATTGTTCTGAGTCTCAAATGAAATAACATATATGAAGGACTTTGTAAACTTTATCTTTTAAATCATAGTTTATTTTTCCTCCCAATTATGTATAAAAACAATTTTTAACATTTAAAAAAACTTTTGAATTCCAAATTCTCTTCCTCTATCCCCTGCCCCCCTCCCTGAGACAGTAAGCAATTTGATATAGGTTATACATATGCAATCATGCAAACCATGTTTCCATATTAATCATTTTGTGGAAGAAAATTCAAACAAGAAAAGAAAGAAAGGAAGGAAGGAAGAAAGGAAGTAGGAAATGGTATGCTTTGTCTGTATTCAGATGACATCACTTCTTTCTCTGGCGGCAGATAGAATTTTTCATCATGAGTCCTTCCAGACTGCTTTGGATCATTGTATCGCTAAGTATATCTAAGTCCTTCACAGTTCTTCATTGTGTAATATTGCTGTTACTGTGTACAATGTTCTCCTGGTTCTGCTCACTTCCCTGTGCATCAGTTCATGTAAGTCTTTCCAAGTTTTTCTGAAATAATTCTGCTTGTTATTTCTTATAGTACAATATTATTACATCACAATCATATACCACAACTTGTTCGGCATTCCTCAATTGATGGGTATCCCCCACATTTCCAATTCTTAGCCAACACAAAAGAGCTGCTATAAATGCCTTAGTACAAATAGGTCTTGCCCCCTATTTGGGATATAGACCTAGAAGTGGTATTGTTGGATCAAAGGGTATGCACAGTTTTATAGTCCTTTGAGCATAGTTCCAAATTGCTCTCTAGAATGGTATGATCAGTTCACAACTCCACCAGTAGTGCATCAGTATCCCAGTTTTTGCACATCCCCTCCAACATTTATTATTTTCCTTTTCTGTCATATTAGCCAATCTGATAGGTGTGAGGTGATACTTCATAGTTGTTTTAATTTGCATTTCTCTAATCAATAATGATTTAGAGCATTTTTTCATATGATTATAGACAGCTTTGGTTTCTTTGTCTGAAAACTGCCTGTTCATATCCTTTGATCATTTATCAACTGGGTAATGACTTCTATTCTTATATATTTGACTCAGTTCTCTATATATTTAAGAAACAAGGCCTTTAATCAGAGATACTTGCTGTAAAATTGTTTCCCACATTTATGCTTTCCTTCTAATCCTGGTTGCATTGGTTTGACTTGTGCGAAAGCTTTTTAATTTTATATAATGCAAATAATCAATTTTGTATTTTGTAATGCTCTTTATCCTTTCTTAGGTCCTCAGTTCTTCTTTTATCCATAGATATGACAGGTAAACTATTACATACCCATTTTGAACTTATCTTGGTATATGGTGTGAAATGTTGGTCTATGCCTAGTTTCTGCCAGATTATTTTCTAGTTTTCTCCGCACTTTTTGTCAAATAGTGAGTTTTCATCCCAAAGCTTGGGTCTTTGGGTTTATCAAACATTAAATTACTATGATAACTTACTGCAATGTATTGTGTGTGCCGAATCTAATTCACTGACCCACCACTCTATTTCTTAGTCAGTACCAGATTGCTTTGGCGATTACTGTTTTATAATATAGTTTAAGATCTAGTATGGCTAGGCCACCTTCTTTCACATTTTTTTCATTGGTATTCTTGACCTTTTGGTCTTTCAGGTGAATTTTGTCATTATTTTTCTAGCTCTATAAAAGAAATTTTTTTGTAGTTTGGTACAGCACTGAAGAAGTAGGTTTATTTAGGTAGAATTGTCATTTTTATTATATTGGCTTGACCTACCTGTAAGCAATTCATGGTTTTTTTTTCAGTTGTTTAGATCTCTTTGTAAACTTTAAAGAACTATATAAACGTCAGTTACTAATATGTGTGTGTTGTCAAAGTTCAGAATATACTAGACCATAGTTTTACCTACAAAGAAAGAAATATCAAAGTTTTGCATTTCTTGTGCTCAGGTTTGGATGTACACCAGAGAGAAGGTTGGCAAATTCTCATTGTGCCAAGTCATTTCAGTGGACAGAGAAGAGAGGACGGGGGCTCATCTCTGCAGCCCATAAGTCAGTTCCTGTTTTCTGGGCCTCCTAGCCTCTAATGAGGCCCTTGTAAGGATGATTTGAACTTAGGAGGGTCTTTGGCACACTATGTCCAGTTTACCTGTTCTTCCAAGGGCCAGAACCTCAAAAAGGCCATGTGCAATAGGTGTCTCCACTTTCTCTCCTGTTACTATCTTCTTAACCTCTTACCATCTGGCTTCTGACCTTATCATGACATTGAAACTTCTCTTTCTAAAGTTGCTAAAGATCTTAGTTGCCAAATCCAATGGCTTTTTCTCAATCCTCATTCTCTTTGAACTTTCTGTAGCCTTTGACACCGTTGATTACTCTTTAAAAAAATGAGTTTTTATTGACATCTTTTGTTTTTACATTTTAAATTTGTTTTTATATCCCTCTCCTACCCTCTTCCCAGAAAACCATCCCATAGAACAACAAATGTTTAAAAATAAGAGAAAAGAAAAAGAGGAATAAGAGGTGGAAAAAAAACAGCAAAACTATCATACATTAAAAAAAAAATCTAACAAGGAAATGTGCCACACCATGGACCCTGCCCCTCCGCTGGCCAACTTCTGCAAAGAAGTGGGGATGGGAAAGTTATTGTATTTCATCTTTGCGGTCATAGGCATGCTCTTTGTAATTTTACAACATCCATTTTCACATGTTTTGTGTTGGTTGTTCTTTCCATTTACATTGTTGTAGTCCTATATATTATAGTTTTCTTATGCCGTTGGAATTTAAGAAGACTGTGTCCCCTTTGATTTTATCCTTGTTTCCCCGGAAAATACAGAACCTCAAGGGACAAGTTCAATACATCCTCCTCCACTGGCTGTATACCCCTTCTTTTGCAATCTCCCTGCCCCCTTCAGGCCAAAGCCTTAGGGAGCCCATGAGGTGTAAGTTTAATGGACAGGGTGGGCTGGGGCCAAAAACCTGGCTTTCCTGCTAGGAACTCAGAATCCCTTTAATTCCCAATGTTAGGTAGCTCTGAGGCCTGAGGATGTTGGCCAAGAGGAAATATATATGCTGGTTATTGGAATTGGAACTATTTCGCTTCCCAACTCATTGGTTATTTACCACTCTGTGTGTTCCCCTATATTCCCTCCCTTTTCTCCTTGTCCTCTCTTTTATCTGACTGGTCACATTGTCAAGACTCCTTTCTGTCTGTTAGGTAATTCTGAGCACATCCTACTCGGAAAGCTGGAAGACGGCCCATGAAAGTATGTGGAGTGTATGAAACTGGCAAAGATAGTCTGTAGTGACTGCTGCTTGTTCTCCCATCTTCCTCTTCATCATCTGTTCATCTCTTTCTTTCCCTACCACATCTTCTCCATTCCCCAGCTTCCCAAGGTAGAGAAAATAAATCAACAACTCATTCACATCGAGGTATTAGGCAATTCCATTCAGGAAACCCCAAGTCCTATTTTGTGCAAGGTACTGTACTCTGCTCCATGGCGTGTAATAAAGAAGATACTGTTCTCCAGGAGCTTACTGTCTGGTGGAGGAGGTACAAATAACAAATAAAAATATTCATGGAAGAGTAAGATAATACAAAGCAAAGACTCAGGCTAGGAGTCAGGAGAAATAGAAGACTAGAGAGATAGATAGCTTTGATCTGGAGGGAGGGAAGGCAGAGGCAGTTCCATGGAATTAATAGCCTCACTCAGGGCTATGTACCTAGTCATATGTGTACTATTTGCTTTGCAGGGTTCTTATAGAGGAAGGTTTTATAATCCTTAAAGTTTTGTACCAAGGGTTCTTCCCTTTTTTGTGTCCTGGACCCCTTGGCAATTAGGTGAAAGTTATGGACTCCTCCAAATAATATTTTAAAATGTATTAAAAAATACATAGGATAGCAAAGGAAACTAATTATATTGAAATAATTATAAATGTTTTTTAAAAACAACTTCACAATTATCTCAATGGAGGTAGAAAAAGCTTTTGACAAAATGCATTACCCTTTCCTATTAAAAACACTAGAAAGTACAGGAATAAATGGAGCTTTTCTTTAGATGATTAGTAGTATTTATCTAAAACCAAGAGCAAGCTTTATCTTTAATGGGAATAAACTAGAAAACTTCCCAATAAGATCAAGGGTGAGGCAAGGATGTCCATCATCACCATTATTATTCAGTACTATACTAGAAATGCTAGCAACAGCAATGAGATAAGAAAAAGATATTGAAAGAATAAGAACAGGCAATAAGGAAACAAAACTATCACTTGTTGCAGATGATATAATTGCATACTCAGAGAACCTGAGAGATTCAACTAAAAACTAATTGAAACAATTAACAATTTTAGCAAAGTTTCAGGATATAAAATAAATACACATCTATCATCATCATTTCTACATATTACCAACAAAATCTAACAGCAAGAGATAGAGAAATTATATTTAAAATAATTGCAGACCATATAAAATACTTGGGAGTATACCTGCCAAGACAAACCAGGAACTATATGAATACAATTACAAACCACTTTTCATACAAATAAAGTCAGAGCTAAACCACTGGAGAAATATTAATTGCTCAGATGTAGGCCAAGTCAATATAATAAAAATGACAGTTTTACCTA